AAAATACGCCCAAATCTTTCCTTGTCACTTGCTGCAAGATTTATTGGAGAAAGAATTAATAGTTACAGGTGATAATTCCTGTTTTTGTTTGCAGTAAAACAGCTTTCTTTATAAAATTCATCTTCTGGGAATCTACTTACGATTTCCTGATTTTTGACATTGTAAAGTGTTATTCAGAGAAAGAGCTTAGGTTCTTCGATGAGTACAGGTTTGTTCCTTGTTTCCTCTGTTGTATTGGATTTCCTGTTCCTTCTAAAGACTTTCCATTCTTTTTCGCTTACATTAGAAGGAACTGGAAACCAAATCCTACACAGGAGACAAGGGATACACTTCTACTCATCGATAAAACGTATGATCTTTCTCTGACAGTCTACTATGTCAAAATTGGGAGATTTTAAGGCGATTCCCAAAAAAGAAATTTTATAAATGAGGTGGCAAGCGCTTGTGTCTTAGTGACTATACTACCTTGCATGAGATGATATGATTAAAAAAAAAACGAAAAATTTAATATCATCATCATCATCATCATCAGTACCCTTTCTTTATGTATGCACACTGCAAATCTTAATGAGTTTTCACCGTCAGACTCTTTGTAAATTACCCGTAACTATTCTCTCCCAAACTCTCTGTCTTTTGCTAACTCACGAAAGTGTTGCAGATCTCCCAAGCTCTTCAAATATTTGAAGTCGGATGGTCGAATGTTGTTGTCAATTCTTTTAATATCGTTAATATTTATACTATGGCTGTTCGTCCAATGATATTGTTTTTTTGGCAAAACTATTTCTATAATATTTCCTCTTTGATTCTAACTCAGATATTAATATCAAGACATTCCTTGACTTTGGTTTCTTGGAATTAACATACATCAATATTCTGAAACTATGATTTCCCATTTTCTTTCTTCACAAGTCCTATAAATGTAAATTTCAACATGCTAAAATCTTTCTAATGAACTGAACTCATTTACAAAGTTTTAAAAAAGAAATCGTCAACTTTTAACGGTTGACATCCGGAGAAGCCTTTGGCTTTTCAGCCAGAAAAAAAAACTCTGCGACTAAGAAGAGAAATTGTATTTAAATCAATTCTAGTGGTTTAAAAGTTTTGGAAATAACTACAATGTAACCCGGATATAAAAAAGTTGTCGGGACCGGAGAAGCCTCATATATCGGGGTTTCTCTTATATCCGGGTTTGGTCTATTATATATTCATTAACACAGGCTCTAACTTGGGACCAGAGAAAATCTCTCTCATATCCTGGTTTCTCTTATATCCGGGTTTGGTCTATTATATATTCATTAACACAGGCTCTAACTTGGGACCAGAGAAAATCTCTCTTATATCCTGGTTTCTCTTATATCCAGGTCTCTTATATCCGGGTTACACTGTATTACTTACTGTGACACCATACATTGTACATATTACTTACTTCCCTTTATTCTTAGTCTGTGATCAAATTCTTTACTCATGATGACTTTCAGAGGAGAAAATGGCTTTACTGGAGAACTAAATAAGCACATTAATTTCTCATTTATGAAGATCACGAAAGTCCATAATGGAAATGAATGACAAATCGGTAAAATTAATAAATAATTAAAAAAACAAAGCAAAGAAAGGTGCATAATCAAATTATGTATCTCCAAGAACAACTAACCTGGAGATGATAAAAAAACCCTGGAAAATATCATCGCTAAATCATCAATTAAATGATATCACATATAATATTTACAAATAAAGAGACTATCAATATGGTATAATGTCATTCTCAGAGTCTTCCCTATGAGCAAATATTTATCATATATTTTTTACGGCTTATCAACACTTTGTTCCTTATTTAAAGCTGAAACTTAGATTTTAAGAATAATTATTTTATTTTATAGCATTTTATTTTATGCATTACATTTATTTTGAAGATAACTATTATTTTCCCAGATCCAAATCCGACTATTTAACCCATATCTGGAGGGACGAGAAGTATTCTTAGTATTCCCCAAATTTTTTTCGCATTAGTGAATATAATGTACCCGATTGTAATTCGAACACGGCTCTTCAATATTTCCGAAAAGCTACTCACAACCACCCGCAAATCTTAAGATTTATGTAATAATTAATAAAATTTTAAATTAGAAGATAAACATTATAGTGAATTAAATAAGGGGCCATGATGGCTATGTTTATCTGTATGCTAGTCTGTTGTTTTGATGAACACTGAAACGCGTATACGCGGCTAGAAAGTTTAAATTGACTTTGTATCCCTATTTAATTTAATTGGAATTTGCGAGCGTAAATTCAGGTTTTTTCACGTCGGGAGTTATTAGTTTTTAGTAAACAGTATAGAAAATATGGCTCCAATCCTGCTTCCAAGGTGATGCTGTTCCGAATCATTACCTTAAATAAACAACATATCCCTTAACGAAACGTTTATTCAAACAGTATATCATTTCAACATGAAATATTCCGTCTGCCTCCTCGCAATAGAAAAAAAAAATGAAGGAAATTTCTGTTCAGGTTTAATCATATATTCATCATATAATTATTCCTTGCATTGCAGCGATTCACATTTTACGTCTGGCACACATGTTTCATCTCTCTTAATATATGCTGGCTTGAAAAAAATAGGGTTTTCTGGAAGATTTTATGTTAACATATGCCAGCTGCATATTGCCCCCTCCTTCCCAAGAATTTTATGGTTCATTCTATGTTCCTGATGCTGCAAGAATACAGCAGTTCGGTTCAGGGGAATAGTAACGTTATTAAGAATTAAGATAGCGATACCAAATTATCAAAACCCAGACATGAGAAAAAGAAAGGGGAAAAAATATGCCGACTTGTAGAACGCATTGATTCTTTTCAAAATTTAATGTACAGGAGGATCCAAATGTCTTGTCAACCCTGCATAATATAATTTTCAATTTCAGATGTCTGGCACGAGCTTCTACAGTTTGCAAGAGAGCCTTCTTGATGTCTGAGTGCGTCAGTGAAAGTGAATAAACTGAAACCAATACATGTACTTTGTATTACTGTATTACTTGTTCTTTTGTTCTCATTACTTTCTTTTGGTGGTGAGTAATAAGACTTTCGGACCATCCTGTAAATTATCTGATGCAGTATAATAACACAAATGTTTGAATTATTGTGTTTAAAACAATGAAGCTGAAGATATTAGTTCAAAATAAGCAATGATATTAGTTCAAAATAAGCAATGAATCGTAACACCACACAAATCCAGACAAGAATATGACATTTTTTTTCTTAAGAAAAGATTAATAATGAAAAACTTGAACTGTATTTTATATGAGGATGTTTCGCATTTACCACCGGCTCCATGATCCAGCGCTGATTAAAAATACATGATTTCAGACGCAGAATATTCCAGCAGGCATGAATATTCTTTCTCTACCATAATGTCTCACTTCTCTAGGTAATGTTGCCGTAGTTACAACATCAAGTAGTTTCTTTTAATGGCTGTAGTATCCAGCTCCACCCACATCCAGTTTTTAATTTAGAACTCTCTCCTCCTCCTAGAATGCAAATCAAGGCAATAGAATCAAGTCTGCCTTGCTATTTAACCATTAGCTGATGAGAGTAGAGATATATTCATAATTTTTCCAATATTTGTACGAAAGTGAACGCAAGGAACTAGACCGGGATTTGAACTCAGCACGCTGATTCAATTTTATGTGCGGATAATCGAAAGATTTGAAAGACTGGCAAAGTAAAATTGTTTAATATTTAAAATGGTTGTATTTAACTCTCACCATGTTACGTCAGAATATACTTTCCGCTTAGGGTTCGTTAGAGAAACCAGATGCCAGACTAAGCTGAGATGAGCTCCTAGCCGCCAACTCCAGGCACGAGTGATATGAACCAGCTGCATTTGATATGCATGTGCGAGAAAGTGCCGCGCGACAGTTATAAATGTATATATAAACACCAAACCCATCGTTAAGAACGGTTTATCTCAAATATTATGCATGGGAATGTAACGTCTACGTTCGAATGAGGGAAACATACACACACAATATCACTGATAGATTTTTTTTTACCCCCATGCAAGGTGATAAAGCAATTAAGACTGAGGGTTTGTTTCTTTGTTTTTTAGAGCGAAAGAAACACAAAATGCTACTAAGGAGAAAGGTCAATAAAATGAATACGGTTTAAAGAGACAGGCGGTAATTAATGACGCGTTTAAATGATCAAAGTTCCGAATTGAAAGGAAAGCCTTAAGCTAGAAAATAATTCCACAGGCGAAACGTACGAGAAAAGAAACTATTTGAATCTAACCCAAGGTTAAACTTAAAAGTTCCAAAATCAATATGACGAGGCCTAACTGCCAATCTAGTACTACCTTTAAATTGATGGTGTCGAATTACCAAAGAGGAAATTGCTCTGAAAATGTTTATAGAAATGTAAAAGAGAATCTGAGAAACTATGTTACGTCGGCAGGTAAGTGATTGAGGTTGAGATGCCAGGTCAGAACTGTAACATTGCATGTTCTTCTTTGGAATGTATAAAGAATTTCTAGATATATATATATCATACGCACTAGAGCCGGATTAACAGTACACAATTCAAATTATTAATTTAAGACTGTACGAATGGCTAGCCGGACGTGAACAAAGAATGATAGTAAAATGTAAAAGATCGATTCAGGGCAACAGAAGAAATAAATCTGTAGAAAACAATGGCTGCCTCCATCCTGAGATGTTTGGATGTTTGTTTGGTTGTTTTTCTTTAGTGGCATATCAACAACTATGTGCCATTTAATGCCGAAATCTAAATTTTTTGTCAGAAAATTTTATTTTATTTTTGGAGATAATAACTTTTTTTAGTGATATAAATATTACTAATTATGCAATAGCTGGTGAGATAAGTGGCAGATTTATACCTTTCTCAACAGCTTTTGCGTGTAAGTTAATATAATGAATCCAATTGGATTTGAAACTAGACTCTCCGATTAAAAATTCCGAGCTAATATCCATTAAACTACCCGAAAATCCAAGCTTACAGCACCTGTTATTCCCGAGCAGTCGCCCATCTAATTACTGACAAGGCTCGACGTTGCTTAACGTCGGTGATCATACGGAAGCCAGTGTTTGAACGTGAACCTCTGAAATGATGTCGCATATACATAAAAGAACCAAAACAGAAATTTTGGAAGGAAATAATTATAACATCTTTAATTAATTCGACGAAAACCAGTTGTAAAAATATATTTGCTAAACATATATTGTCCTATTTTTAGTTACGAGGTATTTTTCTCGTTTGAAATGTATTTCCCGGGGGTATTGCTACAATATCAATGCCGGCTTCATTACCACCATTTCAACATCTCCGTCATTCGTCTGTTCATGATGTATGCATTTGATTGATTATAAATAGAATTAGAACAGAAAAGATTGAATTGCGTGCGTAAGTATCACTTAGATGGTAAATTACAAAGTCGTGTTTTATAGAATTTTATGAAACGATCACCGTTGAATTCTAAATTTAAAGCGTCGGCGAAAAAAGACAATTTTACTAGAACTGGAATATTTAATAAAAGATGAAAGCAAGTGCTGTCATATTGGCATCAAAGAGAGTATTTTTGATTGTCTAAGCCTGCCTGGCGGAAACCACTCCCACTACAGAGCGTCCATCCTTTATGCTCTCAGAACTCTTTGTTCAAATTGCATATTCGCATTAACGTTACAATACTCGCATGATCATTATTGGAAACAGCATTTACTTTAACTTCATAATGATGACAGAATCTGGATTACTTTAATACGGTTTCTGTGTTTTCAATTAAAGTGACATCTTTTATCATTTATTCCAAAGTGATATGTTAATTTGGATGACACGCGTTTACGATAATATATTTCGTGTGACTATATATATATATATATATATATATATATATATATATATATATATATATGTGTGTGTGTGTTGAAAAATATAGAAAATAGGAAGGAACTGGTTAGGTAGGCTAGAATATGTAAAGCTTGGGATGACCCATGCCCTTTTGTGCCTCCATGAAAATTGCACATCATTAAACTTCTAAATAATAATAATCTATTAAATAATAGACACGAGTTAACGGTTTTTTGTAGGCATCATCAGATTTTTGGTTTGAATTATTAGATAAAAAAATAAAATAAAATTATATAACTTGTTTAACAAATAGCCCAATCATCAGATTCATAGTAGGAATAATTAACTACAAACATGCATACTACATAACACACTTCATAATCCATAGCCTAAATTAGTAGTTTAAATACCTTACATATAAGATAACCCTTTATGAAGTCGTCAAAAAACAAACGTTACGAAAGTTTTCCTTTTTTTTTTTTTTTTTTTATATGCACAATTCCCTTTCATAATAAAATAAAATAAAATAAATAAATAAATCTCCATAGACAAGCAAACTAGACGATGGCCAATACATCTTCCGTTTCATTTTTGACACCCCCACCTTTCCCCGACTTGACACCTTGAAAGTATCTCTATACCGCTACTTAATATAAACACCCTACACTCGCCTACCCAATTTAGAAAATTCACCATAGCTGTTACCATGGGGATTTTGATTTCAATTTTAAAACAAGTAAATTTCAGATATACGTTATTCCAACAAAAATTTCGCTTGAGGATGGAACGGAGCCCATTTTACTTTCAACTCAATTTAATTTAAAGGATTATATTGAAGTTTTCGGCTCCAGTTTTGAAACATGAGACCTCTTATGTAGCGATTTGGAATCATATTTTTAAATAAATAATTATATATATATATATATATATATTATAGGAGATTATAAAAAAAAACATTTTTGAAATCGCTACACAAATTTTGTTTCAATATTATGATTATGCTTAATCAGGCAATAGTAAGTAACTGGTGATTAAATTATTTTTAAGGAAATTTAAAAACAAAGTGTTGCCACTTTTCCGAAAATTAAATTTGGGTGGGGGACATAACTTCAGAATGAAAAATAGACTTTTGGGTATATCTTGATTAACAAATTAAATGTCAGATCTACGCTAAATACAAAAGTTAGCTCAGCGGTTGGAGGTGGATGAGTTATTTTCATGTCATGATAAACCGTAACATAAACAGGCCATCATTGAAGATTCCGGAAAATAGGCCAGTGACAAGTGTATCGTGATTTTCGACAAATATGTTCAATTTTTTGAAAGGGCGTTGAAGGGAGGGGTGGGTTAATCCGACGTAAAGTTAACAGAAAAAGATATATATATATATATATATATATATATATATATATATATATATATATATATAAGAAGCTTCTTACATGGACCTGTAATTAAAATTAAAAATGGGAAACATAAGATATTAGTAATAGTAACTGGAGGGCAATACATAGCAATATTTAAGATGAATAATCAAAATAAGTTAATTACCCGTAAAGGGTGGACCATTATATACAAGTAAATTATGGCTATAAGCAATGGTAATACGTAATTTTAAAAAAAGTTTAACTATATTTTAATGTAAAAGATAAAATGAGTCGGTAATTTAGAGTAAATTCACTCCTTTATTTTAATAGGAATTTTTTGTCAGCAAATGTGATTATTTGTAATTTTTCCGGTAAACATAAGAAGCACGGTTCATTTAAAGATTTACAAGTTCTAGTTTGATTGTTTATGGAAAAATATAGTTTTTAGGTATGCTATATTTATGTGTTGAATTGCTAAATATCAAAGATATGGCTTATATAAAAATAAAAGTGGCCATTGAGTTCAACGACCAGTGGCTATCGTTTGTTTCATGCTTTAACAAAATCTTTAGGCGTAAGATTGCGTTCAAGTATGGAATAAACTGTAGCCGCTGGATGCCACGAGAGAACAACGTCTAATTTTACCAATAAAGACACACACACACGAACACACACACACACACACACACACACACACACACACACAACTCTCTCTCTCTATATATATATATATATATATATATATATATATATATATATATAATTATTTCCTCCAAAAGACGATAATGACTGCTAAGATGCAGGCAGTTTCTGGGAGGGAATGAGAATATGATATGAAGATAGCCAGCGAGGAGAAAGGACAATAAAAAACTGGATCCAGAAAGACAGAATATGGCGATGGAAGTTGCATTTATTTTTTTAAAGATTATAGGAGGCAGAGAGATAAGAAAGCTGAATAGAGTTCCACGGGCGAGAAAGACGACAAAACAAACGACATCTTCTCATATTTCTGCCTGATAAAATACAGCAAATAGAAAGTATTGGAAATAAATTATTAAACGTTAAAAAAGGTTTTAATGTATCCAGCATTGTAATGTAAATTGATTGCCATATGGAAGCCAATAATTCGCTCATACGACGTGATTTATTAACATGTTAAAAATCATAATCTGGAGTTATTTTTCATATACCAATATAGATGTGGCTCTTTGAATTTTCATAAAAAGAAGAGTACATTATAAGAAATCATGTAGTTATTATAAATTGACTACGAATTTGGATAGGAAATTTGCTCCTCTATTAACTTTTATTAAAATTCTATTATATCTTACTTTTTTCTGGAATTTCTTTCTTCATCTGGATTGTTTAATCTACAGTAACATGAGGAATGTAGGGAAAATGATTGTTCATGATTCACCAACTCCAGCCCATAATCTTTCTCACAGGAACACCGACTTTTCTTAGAGATGTCTTTTGTTAAGTTAAGCGCTACAAAGGTTTAGAAGTTGGGAAAACCCATGATCGCCCATAAGTAGCCCGTAATGATTCTGTTGCTGCTGCTGATGATGATGATGATGAAGAAGAAACAACAACAGCCACAACTTTGCTACCTTATTGCATTTTGTATCTGCATGTATTCATCATCTATAAAACAATTTTGTCTATTAATTTACGTATCCTTTGGTAAATATCATCTTCAATGCCAAAATAGCCCCAAAACATGCTATTCTAACATTGGTCACACAAACATCACACTCTCATATCGGTTAACTTGTCACCAATCGAAAATCAAATTGTTCAAATATCGATTAACGTATTAGGAACAAGTGAAATAAACTATTACCATAAAATAAACCTTAGTAGATAATACAAAAATTCTCTTCAGCAAATATTGTAAGGAATGATTCAAAATACTTGATACTATTATTTTATGATTTAGATAATCAGCATAAAACTGAATTTTTCTTTACAAGTGATACAATGTGGATATTTAGTGCGTATGAAGTAATCATAATGTAGACAGAATAGTAGTAAAATAGGTTCCTGTAATATCAAGCCTGCTGAAAATGTTATAAAAATGATGTCACTTATACGATCCATTGATATTTAAATTTAACATGTAATGTTCCAAAAAATGCCAGAATGTCGCTTAGCAAATCTTTGTGCACATTCATTCGTTCTTCATGATAACCGAAGCGATCGAAAATAGTCCCCAACCCTCCCGGCAAAATAGAGAAATGCCATGAACTTTAGACAGTTTACATAACATATTAATGTGGATGGATGGGCAGCATCTTATTCGAAAACTGGAAAATTAAAAAAAAAACTTAAACAGAAAAGCCCTCCATGTTGAGATATTGGGGATTTTATTTTCTGTATGAATATCTGGGAAGAATTATCATTATTTACGCTATTGGTCCAATAGGCTATTGACAATAAACCCAATAGAAAGCGTTGGTTCGTGAATTTAGTGACGTAGTAAACGTGATTTCAATGTCTGGGCTGGGCGGTGTGTACTTTGACTCAGAGGAAACAGAGCGAACAATAACTGAGCAATGTTAGAAATAAGAACTAGACGAGCTATATCTAAACATAAGAATAATCTACACCGTAGATTTAATGTTTCCCTTCTGAATTTCCTTTAGACCATCCGGATTGACATACTGAGGAAGGCCGTAGGGCACAGCTACAGAATCGTTGTGATAACGACAAGAAAGTTGAGAATTGTACTCATGTAAATAATGCAAATAAGAAAACAATAATGGGAAATATATATTTGAATTTTTCACAGAAACAAGGAAAACTATCTGAAAAATAGAAAAAATAAATTGAAAAATACTTACCTAATAATATTCATTAATCAAATATGATATAATTG